GGCTGGATGGCTTTCTTACTGACACATGGCCAGGACCAAGCACACTGTAAGGACTCGATGTAACTGACAGGCTGGCCAGTTACATACTAGGCTGAAGGCCAAAGCAGGGCAGGTTTCTTTTGTTAGGGTTGTGTGATGCATATGTATGCAAGCACGTGGAGAGGTCAGAGGTCACACCAGGTATTGTTCTCCAGGAACCATCTACTCCGTATTCTGAGACAGAGTCTCACTGGCCCAAGATTCACTGAAGAGGTCAGCTGGCTGGCCAGTGAGCTCTGAGGATCCACTGTCTCTGTCTCTCCAGTGCTGGGACTACAACTGTGTACCACTTTGCCCTGGCTTTTCACATGGGTCTAGGGGTTGACTCAGGGCCTCACACCTGTACAGCAAGCACTTTACTGAGCCATCACCACATCCCTGAAGGTCAGGCTTGGAGAGCTCCTTCTCTCCCTGGGCGTAGATAGAGAGAGCAGCCCACCACCCCAGTGTTACCTTGTGCGATCCGAAGCTTCACCTCCAGGTCCACTGGGGTCGACACCACTGACTTGGTGAGCACCAGCACATTCTCTAGCCCAATAACCACCACCAGGTATGGGAAAATCTCACTGGGGACAGAACGGGAGACAGGAAAGGGTTGGCTCTTACCAGACTTGAGCCCTGAAAGGCTGTGGGGCTTCCAGCCTGTAGCAGAGGCCGCCAAGTGGCCCCTGCAGCACAGGGCAGAGGCCCCCTAATGTACCTCCCCATCCAGCAGGGCCTCTTGTCAACACAGCTTTTAGCTCTGAGGCAGGTTCCAAGGCTTTGCCAAGGAGCCCGTTACCACCCCTGTCTCCTCTTTCCAGTGGAGAAAGGGGCTGGAAGAGGCCCCCTGGGAACGTCCCTGCCCCACTGCCAGACACAGCTTTCTTAACCCCTCCTACACTGGACTCCAATGGCTGATGGAATGACCGTTTCGAGGACCCTATACTGGCTACTCCAGGCCAAGATACTGAACTAAACGGGACGGATGACCTGGTCTCATGCCTAAGCTTTGCTGAGACGCTGTCTGGAGAAGAGAAGAGGAACGCTCCCACAGGGCATCTGGCTGAGCCTCACCCACCCAGGTGAAGTTCTGAAAGTGGCTCAGAGAAGAAAGCAGTCCAGGACAAGGAGCGGAACAGAGAGACACAAAGTAGCTTTTCTGTACCGCCAGCTGCTACTGACTAGTGCCCTAGGCCTTGGCTCTGATATCTAGCATAGGGGAGAAAGTGGCCTGAGAAGCCAAGGTCAGGGCCAGGCCAGTCAGCCAGCGGGTAAGCAGGCATGCCAGCCACAGAGACCAGAGCCTAAGGACAAAGGCAGGGAAGGGCTCTGGACTAAGATTTTCAGAGGAACGAGGGGAAAGTAATGTCAGTGAAGAAGGTGGCAAACAATACGTCCCCATATACTGACGACGCGGACCGGACCGATACTTACTGTGGGCATTTAAATCTTTAAAAGGAAACCCTTTGATTATGTTCAGTAAAAACATGTATGTGTGTATGCATGAATGCACACACATTCTCTCCTTCTAGAATGAGGGTTCTAGAGACTGAGCTCAGGTAATCAGGCTTGGTGGGAAGTGCCTTCCCAACGGAGTCACCTGGCCAGTCCTCTTTCAATAGTGAAGAAGACCCCTACGCTTCTGTATCTCACACACTCCTGGACACAAGCCATTAGAAAGCAGTGTGAGGGGCTGGGAAATGGTTCAGCAGTTAAGAGTGCTCCCTGCCCTTGCTTACTGAGTTCAGTTCCCAGCACTTACATCCGGCAACTCACAACCCCCATAACTCCAGCTCCGGGGGCTCTGATGCCCTCTTCTGGCCTCTGTGGGCACTCGTACTCCTGTGCACATTTTTCTATCCCCCAACATATTAAAAACAATAAAAATAAATCTAAAAATTTGGGAGGCAGAGGAAGGCAGATCTCTGTGAGTTCAAGGCCAGCCTGATCTACAGAGTGAGTTCTAGGATAGCCAGAGCTACAAAGAGAAACCCTGTCTCAAAAAAAAAAAAAAAATCTAAAAAATAAAAGCACTGGGCAGTGGTGGCCACACCTTTAATCACAACACTCAGGAGACAGAGGCAGGCAGATCTCTATGAGTTTGAGGCCAGCCTGGTCTACAGAGCGAACTCCAGGACAGCCAGGATTGTTATACAGAGAAACCTTATCTCAAAAACAAACAAACAAACCCAAAAAATAAATAAAAACAATGTGCCTATGGATTTAAAATCTAAACACCAACATCTATGTATACACAGATGCCATATACGTACAAACACAAATATTCTACACATAAAACACAATGTATATGTGTATATACATATACATGCATATAACCACGTTTTATATATATATATACACACACACATATATATGCCATATACATACACATATGCTTAAAAAGAAAGTATACCTCTTCGATGTCAAAAATAATAAGGCAAAGACATGGGGTAACAGCAAACATCTAGTCCAATGGTCACCAGTGGTCACCATCAGGCCCAGACGTGCAAGGGGCCTGATGACTCCCTCTGGCCCCGTGAGACCTACCCGCCATTGAGTGTGGGTGTCAGGCCGAAGAGAGTGCACAGCCCCACAGACATGAGCAGGGAGCTAAGCACTGTGACCACAGCTGCCAGGGCGAGTCCCCACTTGGACTTGACCATGTCGATCTTGCCTGCAGAGCAGAGAGGGCCATCAGGGCAGCACCTCCCCCAGCCCGGGGCCCACCCTGACTGAGCTCCTGGGAGCAGACTTCGCCGACAATCGACAATCGAGAATCAAGAGGAAGAAAAGGACTAGTGTGGACACCTCTGGTCTCGTGAACACAGCATACCTTTTGGGAGCTCTAACCCACAAAGTCTGCCTCGGAAGCCCCTGAGAATCTCTGGGGGAATGAAGCCCTGGTTTTAGTGACCACCAGATACATTCTACATCTTGGCTCCAGGCATCTCTGGCAGGAGGGAGGCGGGTGTCATGGACAGCTCACTCGGAGACCTACGTGTAGAGAAGTAGATGTAGGCAAACAGGATGATGTAGGTGGTCACCAGCGGGACGAGCTCTGCGATGCCGATCTCCTCTTTGAAGTGCACATGGACCAGGTTCTCTGCTCGCAGGCTGCAGTTGGGGCTGGGGTGCAGGAGCATGAGCCGGGCACGCAGGCTGTTCAGAAACCTGTAGACAAAAAGTCCCTAGAGGGGCCAGCAGGTCTCCTCCTCCCCTTTGTGAAAGGCGGCTACTCCACGGTGTTTCAACATCTCTAGTCTCCACGGACACCACCAGGACGGCAAAGGTGGCAAACCTCCTTCCTGACTTATCATACAACCCCAGGTGCCAAAGGCTAGACGAGCACGTCAGAGGCACCACAAGCACCCTTGCCGATTGTGGAGAGCTGTGCAGTGGCTCAGACAAGACACAGGCTGCACCAAGCTCAGCAGTCAGCTGAGGCACCCACCCAGGGCTTAGGAAGAAACCAGAGGAAACACCAGAGATTGTCAGAGCTGTCCTGAGGACCATCCTCATTCAAATGACCAGATATAGTTCTTTGGTGTAAAGAACATAAACATTTCAACAGGAAGCCTGGGGCCATGCTGGTCAGAGAAGCAACCACTTAAGCCTAAGTCCCCCAGAGCAGGCGGGACCTGAGCACCTTACTTGGCATGGTAGCGCTGGAAGACCAGGGTGATGGTATAGGAGACCATCCTCTTCCTTGTATAGAGGCTCACCCCACTGTACTTCCCAGGAACACCGAACAGCAAGTCTGTGGGCAGAAACCAGCAAGTACTCACATAGCAATTAGACTCACGGGGATGGGCTGGTGACAGGGCTACCCAGGACCCCTTCCCTAGAGCTACTCTGAGAAGCAAGGGTTGGCCCCTGACAGACTAGAGCACCCAATGAAGGAGAGAGCGACCACACACAGGCTCGCTCCAGACCCTGAGGGCTTAGGGCACCTTTGAGTGTAGCTGAAGTCTGCAGAGTTTTGGGCTCATGCTGATGGATGGTCCCAATGATGTCAGGGTCGGCATGGAATCGTTCCCAGTCGTTCTGCCAGAAGTTCCCAGGGGACAGTAGCAGGCAGCCATGTTCGGGAAGTAGGCTCTGGAGTTTCTTGAGGCCTGGCAGCAAGTCTGTTACCTGAAGGCAAACTTCCTCCAGGCTCTTGGTCCCCGAGCTATGCAGAAGATGGGAAGAAGCCTCTGATGTTTCTTGCAGCACAGGGCCAACCCACTGCACTTATGGGGCATCATCTGTCATCAGGCTCCTAAATGCCTTATTTCCCCGCTGGATCCAGAAGAGCCTGATGCCTAGGGCAATGGGAAATACTTCCAAGTGCTTAACAAGACCATGCATCTGTCCAGCCCTCAGAATGCACTGGAGCCCTAAAGCCCATCTCCTTCCAGGAAAAGCAAGTGTGTGAGAGCATGCAAACTCCCACTAAGCACCTCTGCCAATTTTAGTGGACAAGCAGGAGAGGAAGAAACTTTAGGGTTTTAGTTCACCAAAATTCTTATCAAAGCCATTAGTTAACTAAAACCTGATGGGGACAATCTGTTAAGCCAACATGTTCCAGAAGGTACCCCCAGGTAGAGCTTGCTAATCTTAGCAAAGCCCAAAGGCAGGAGCCATGGGTCGCTGTTTCTCAGTTACCTCCCTATGGTTAGGCCCATTCACACTCACTCTGTGAGGTGTAAGGATACAGTCACAAGAGCCCACAAAGACCCTGAGACCTGCAAAGCTGACTGGCTTGCAGTAGTTAAGACTGAGGAATATAACTCCCTTTGGTACTCGAGAGTCTGGGGTCCCTGAGAGGAGTACCTGTCTCTCAGCACGTGGTTCCGGATTTCCTCCACCAGTTGGAATGCCCGGGACAGAGGTGAACGGAACACATCTACCGCCAGAAGGTTTTTGTGCCAGGGAGACACTGATGACTTCACAAATATCTGTTGGATGTATGCCACTGGGGCACCCACATACTGTAGAAGAAACAGGACAGGATAGAATGGAAGCATGGGACCATGCTCAATAAGAGCTCACTGAGCAAGGGCTAATAGGAAACGTACTAATGGACCAGGTATCAGGAAAATATGGCCCCCACAAGCCAAAGCACAGCCCAGGTTCATTTTCTGTTGTTTCCTGGAATAAAGCTATGCCCAAACACCCCAGTGGTCCTCAGCTGTACCTACCCTATTACAACAGAGCTGTGTCTCTGCAACAAAGAGGTCTGGACTACCAGACTACCAAGCCTAAATCATTCATTGTCTAGCCCTTTACAGAGCACAGCTGGTACCTGCACCCGACCTCAAGCTCCCAGAGGCATGGAGCTGTCTCACTGATACACAGGTGTCGCTCCAGAGTTCCTACTCTGTAGTGTGCTTAAGAGATCAAGACCTAGCTGGGCAGTGGTGACGCACGCCTTCAATCCCAGCACTCAGAGTTCCTACTCTATAGTGTGCTTAAGAGATCAAGACCTAGCTGGGCAGTGGTGACGCACGCCTTCAATCCCAGCACTCAGAGTTCCTACTCTGTAGTGTGCTTAAGAGATCAAGACCTAGCTGGGCAGTGGTGACGCACGCCTTCAATCCCAGCACTCAGGAGGCAGAGGCAGGCGAGTTTCTGTGAGCTTGAGGTCAGCCTAGTCTACAGAGTGAGTTCCAGGACAGCCAGGCTACACAGTGAAACCTTGTCTTGAAAAACAAAACAAACAGATCAAGACCAAGTTTTTAGCTGGATATGGTGATGCCTGATAAAAAATCTAACATTGAGAGGCAGAGACAGGAGGACTGTCCCAGGTTTGAGGATCAGCCTGGTTTACATAACAAGTTCCTTGCCACCCAGACTACCTAACAACAAACTGTCTCAAAAGCAGCAAACAAATACAAGTTTTCAATCCCAGCTCTCCAACTCTATGGTGTTAGAAGCACATCTGACCTCCCTGAGTTAGAGGTTCCTCACTGTGAAAGAAAATAGCACCACCTACCCTGCAGCACCCAGATGTGTGCCTACCTCACTCACACAAGAATGTGTGTAAGCACGCACACATCTGTCCTGCTGCAGAGATGGGGTTTTAACAGAGATACTAGCACTAAACGGCAAGGAACACTGTTCTGACCCGACAGTACTGGAGGAAGCAAGGATTGCTCAGGGGTTTTTGAACCAAACAGGGTACCACAGTGTTGCAGTGGATACCATTCTACCTATGACCTTAAAGTGCCAGCCGCTGGGGTATGGCCTTGGAGCGACCCTTCAGACCTGAGAGGCACATAAGCTGCTCTCTTCTCTCCCTCATGGGCTTGGAGGTGGGACTGGCTCAGGCGGCAGGAGCAGTGTGGGGCGGGACCTCAGCCTTCCAGAACCCTGCGACGTTTCTGTTTAATGAGTTGTCTTTTCTGATTTATCTCCTAATAAATTCCTTATAACTCTTAAGCAGACTCCCTTGGATTTCTTGCTATACAGTGTCTCAGACTCAACTCTTTCACTAAATGTTGCACGTTTTTCTCACTAGAACCTGGTGGATGCCTGTCTAACTCCCAGAGCAAACTGGATAGTGGTTCCATAAACTCCTGGCAGAATGACAATGAATGCTTCCATCCTGATGCTGGCGTCACTGGGACCAAGCCCCAATCTGCAGATGAGAGCACTCACACATGCAATTCCCGGGACAGAAGTGCCATGGACCACTCCTAAAGTATCACTGTGTCAGCCCTAACTGAACAGCGGTGTGAATGGGACGGGGCAGAAGGGCAGGGAGCACATCTGAGGACTAAGGGACATGAGAGAAAGAAAGCCTGGACAGACAAAGGAACCCTGGAAGGGCGTAAGGGCAAGTGAAAGGCCAAGCTGGAAACCTGGTTGAACCTTCTGGACTTTAAACTGATGACAGAGAAAAGCTCAAATGTCCCTGAGGTGGAGGGGATGCCTAATGAGAGCAAGGTTTTGGAGAGACTACCCTGGAGGTTGAATGGCATCTAGAGGCAGAAAGACAGGCAGGTTAGAGGGGGCGAGGCAGGCCTGAGTGGCTGTGGGAGCCGTCTGAAGCCAAAGCTTGCCTTATTCAGGGACTCCAAAGGCAGTGGACAGAGAGAAGGCCACCGAGCCACCTCCTGGGCTCCAAGGAACAACTAAGAAGCAAAGTTCATGAAGCTCAGTTTACTTATTTTTGGTTGAGATGGGGTCTTAGGCTTAGTCCTAGCTGGACTGGAACTTGTAGCAATCCTCCTGCCTGTTTCCAAGCGTTGGGATTATAGGTATGTGCTCCTGAGCTGGCTGTGAAGTCATTTATGATGCAGTTTGCTGTGGACTCTGACCCACAGAGCTCACTTGAAGCGGCCACCAAGCGCTACTTCTGCGCCTGGCTGGAACTGGCTACCACAGGCTCTGCTCTGAAAGCATTTCACTGACTCAACACACATCTGTCCGAGTGAAGGAAATTTCCTCCCAGAGACCAAGAGCTCTAGAAGGAGGCTCATTTTGAAGATCATCTCCACACTGTGAAGGACAGCACCCTCATGGCACCATGGAGCTTCTAGCACCAGGCTTAATCCTCCTGGTGTCAGAGAGCTGTGACTCTGAACACACCACTCTGCCCTCTGCCCTCTGCCCTCACTCCAAAGGATCTGAACTACTGACCCTTCAGTCCATTTCCAGGCTAGGAACTCACACCCTTCTAGTACTCTTCCAGCTTCTTCCTACCCTGAATCATGTGGGGCTGTTCTCCTTCTTCTTCATTTCTTTCTTTTTTTTTTTTCTTCTTTTTTTTCAGTTTTTCGAGACAAGGTTTCTCTGTATAGCCCTGGCTGTCCTGGAACTCACTGTGTAAACCAGGCTGTCCTCAAATTCAGAGATCCGCCTGCCTCTGCCTCCTGAATGCTGGGATGTTGGCATGCGCCGCTCTCACCCCCCACCCCCACCCTCACCCCCTGGCCTTGGGCCAGTATTTCAGCAAAAGACTAGTAACTACAGTTTACAATCTGGGATGGAGGGTCAGGTTCCATCAGCAGTTTTAGTAGTGCCCCATTCCCGAGCTTCTCCACTTTCCTTCCTGCAAGTCTATTGCTATGGCACCATCATTCTTTCACGGGAAGGGAGTAGCATGGTTTTCTATGTGGGTGATGTGTATCTGTTTTGGAGGAGAGGTTCTTACTACGTAGCTTTGGCTGGCCTCAGATCTGTAATTCTCCTGCCTTAGCCTCCTGAGTGCTGGTGTTACATGGGTGTGGCACCATGCCCAGCCTTCCACCACATTTCTTTAGGAATTTGTTGTTATCCCATTTGCCCTAGACAACTTTCTCCTTTGACGCTCCACCAATTCTGGGTAACCCACAGCTCCTGTACTTTCCTTCATTGGCTGGCGGCCTTTGCAAGCAAACCAAGTTGATGGGGCCCCTGTACAGACTCATTCTTCAGTTTACCTGGGTCCCCTCAGCTGGATGGCTCTTGACTCATGTCTACCAACTTCTATCTGAACCTTCCAAGAAGGTGCTCCACATTCTTCTAGTTTTTTCAAGATTTTGGTCCAGTCATTAAATATATCAAGTTATCATCTAATGTGACCTTAAGTTCCCTCTCTGGACATCAATATTCTCTCATAGTGGCAGCTGTCCACAATCCCTAGACTGACTTGGAAACTTCCAGAAGCAGACCTGGAAACCATTAGTTCATCTGGATGGTACAAGAAACAGGGAGGGAGGCAGCCAGCCAACGGTGTATTGAGCAAGTGACCTCACAGAGCCTGAGCAGGTAGAGCTGAGACTCCATTCTGCTCCTACAGACACTGAGGGCTGTTCTGAGGTCAGGGATTCTCCAGCACCACAGGCCTCTGTAGAGCAGGGAGATGCAATGCTGGTGAGAAGGCAGGCAGAAAAATATTAGTGAAGATGAGGTGTGGCCCATCCATTGTAGAGTGCACGCATTCAGTGAAGATGAGTTCTCTTAATAACCCCACCTGACGTCCAAGTGAGAAACAGGTATGGAAGCAGATAAAGAATAGTACCCTACATGTGTGAGAGCAGATGCAAAAGTATTTAAGGGACCCAGATCTCCCTGAACAAATAAAGACTCTTGACTAGATGGAGACAGTGGCAGGTAGCCTTCTAACATGACCCCCAATAAGCCACGTCTTCTGGGGCTCATGACCTTGTGCAATCTTGCCCCCTTAAGAGAATGCTAGATCTACTGATTTATTTCTGTTGAAACAAGACATCATCTTAGCCATTCTGGAAAGGGCATTTAGGCAACACTCAGAAAGCAACTAAGAGGCCTGCAAGAAATTTGCAGCCAGTCAGCCATGTGAGCGAGTGTGGAAACAGATTCCTCTGAGTTGAATTCTGAGGTCTGGAAGCCTGGGCTGACAGCTGGACTGCAGTGTTGTGAAAGACCCTAAGCTAAATACCTAGATAAGAGAACCAAGGTCAGGCTAGCTAATGGACAAGTCTAAGGTCACACAGCTGATAGGGAGTAGATCCAGATTAAACTCCCAGCTGCCTGACCCCAAGTTTATTTCCTCCTCTACAGCCAACCTGCTCAGATAATGCCATACAATCTTGACGTGGGAGAAAAAGCCATAAGCAGTATGGGAGAAGAGCTGGGGTCCTGGGGACCAATGGCATCTCTGGCCACCACTGTTCAGAGCATGAGGTCTCTGCCTAGATCTTCTCTGTGTCCAGGCTTAGGCAGCCACCACAAACTCTACAATATTAGCCTTGGGAGCCCAGCGTGGAAGAAGACTATATGCCTCTGGGAACCTGCTAGATTGGTCTGTATAAGGGCCTGGTGAGGACTGTGGTGAAGGCAATCCCATTGCTCTAAGCAATAAGTTCAGATTACCAAGGAAGCTGCTCTATGGTAGGCATTCAAGTCCTGGAATCCTCAGGTTTCTTCTTCTTCTTCTTTTTTTTTTTTTTTTTTTAAAGATTTATTTATTTATTATGTGTGCAGTGTTCTATCTGCACGTATCCCTGCAGGCCAGAAGAGGGCACCAGATCTCATCACAGATGGTTGTGAGCCACCATGTGGTTGCTGGGAATTGAACTCAGGACCTTTGAAAGAGCAAGCAGTGCTCTTAACCTCTGAGCCATCTCTCCAGCCCAAGGTTTCTTCTTCTTTAAAACTCATTTTCTACTTTAAATTTAGTTCTTCCTTCATAAGTAAATAGAGCTACCTAGACTCAAATTTCAGTGCCACCACCCCTGGCTGTGTGCTACCAATGAGGGCCTATAGGCTCTCCAAGACTCCAGGTCTTCCTTACTGCTTAGGGAAATGGGAATAAACCACCCAGCCCAAATCAGGTCCCTGAGAAGGCCAATCAAAATAACAGATGTGAATCAAATCTAGCAAAGCATCAGAATTATGAAAAATGGACTTGGCATCCCAGGCAATTTCAACTCGCCTACTGGCCCCGACAGGTTCATTAGGATTGATTTTGTTCCCACCATTGTTACTGTCGTTCTTTTAAAAAGCAAACAGTGTCTAAGTGTATGAACGTTTTGTCTGCATGTAGGTGTGTGTACACATACAAGCCTCATGCCTTGGAGGTCAAAAGAGGGCATCCCCTGGAACTGAAGTTCTGGAATCCAAACCTGAGCCTTCCCTAACAGTGGTAAGTGCTCTTAATTGCTGAGCTATCTCTCTAGCCCATGCCATTCCTCTCAAGGGAATGGCTTCCACTAGCTGGTCCACGTTATTCTCTAAGGGCATTAACGGCTCCTACGATCTAGTCCCTGTTAGTCCCTCTAAGAGCATTAATGGCTTCCACTATCCACTCTTGAACTCAAGGGCCCAGAAACAACTTGGGCCCACCAACCTTCTCACTTACAATGCTCAAAATAAAGTAACAGGCACATTCATTGTCTCTAAATAATCCTGCTCTTTACTTACTCAACAAGAGCTCTTTCTTGAGCGCTCGTCTGTGGTGTGTAAAACACTGGTATTTATGTGAATCGGAGTGAACGTAACTTCAAGAGTATGGCAGCAAGCACAGAGGAGCAGCAGGATCCACATGTGCAAACAACAGGCTTCCCAGAGAAAGAGCCACTGAGCTGAGGGCGAGTCTTACAAGCAGTCCAAGCATACAAGCCTTCCTTTCCTCCTCTCCGCTCAGGCTAGCCAGACCTGATCCAGTCTGACAGCCACAGACATCTGCTGAATGTTAACAGTGGCCAGACGCTGCACCAAGTCTGCACCCTCTCATTTCATCCCTGACAAAGTGTAACACGGGGAAATTATCACCCTTGGTTCATGAACATGGGAACGACGGCCCAAAAGTCATCTGGCCAAGGCCACGCACTGGGAAATACAAGTCTCTACTGTTTCTGCTTTGTTTTTCTCTCTCTGTAACCACAGCCCTCTGCCCAGAAGGAATTGGCCCTTGCCAATCCTACAAAGCCAGAGGTCACACTAATATAGAGTGGACTGAACTCAGAGCAAGGACCTGGCAAGGACGATTGATTCTGTGTGGGGGCTGGAGAGATGGCTTAGTGGTTACGGGCACTTGCTGCTCTTTCAGCTCACAAACTCCTATAACTCTAGCTCTGGGAGATCTGACACCTTCTTCTGGGGCAGGCACACACAAACGCTCCTGCCTCTCTGCCTCTTCCTCTGCTTCCTGTCCCATGAGAAGAATACCTCTACCACTCTGCTTCTACCATGATGTTCTGCCTCATCTCAGACCCAAAGCAATAGAGCCATCGAAACTTGGACTGAAACTTCTGAAAACACAGACCATGCCATGCCACCAAGTGCTTCTCTTAGTTTGTGACAGTTTTCAGACTTGTCTTGTTTTGGGTGGCCTTGAAAGTTTTGTGGAGTGCTGGTCAGGTATCTCGGAGGGTGTCCCTCAACTGGAATTGATTGATGTTTTACTGAAGTAGACTAGAGCTGTATACATCCAGGAAGAAGAATCCCGAGGTCCCTGCAGCTCTCTTCCACCCCCGTCACTTGCTTGATGACTCGCCTGTCAAGGTCTCTACCGCACATACTCCTCTCTGCCTGTGCTCTGTAGAGGGAAGTCTCTAGACACTTAAGAAGCAGAAAAGTTGAGTATTGTGGACCATGCCTGTATTCCAGAACTTGAGAGGCAGAAGAATCAGGAGTTCAAGACCAGACCAGCCTCAGCTACACAGCCTAGACAACATTAAACCTTGTTTCAAAAAACAAAACAAACAAAAAGAGAAAGGAATTATATGCTAATTTCTTGAGAGGACTGACTATCTGCACAAATTATTCAGAATTTTTCTGCCCAGAAATTTGCCTATTGTCCCTATGTATTTATTTAGTCAGTTAATCAAATAGATTCAGGACAGACTTACAGGTATTTAGCATTTACTTGGAGTGTACTAACATGAGTATATAATTCAATACTCTTTCACTGTATTGCAACAACTGCTCCACACTGACAACTGAAAGCTCTTGGCCTCTGTCTCTGTGTGTGCGCGTGCACGTGACTGTGTGAGTTTATGTGCTCTAGGTGTGTGAAGGTGCCTGCAGAGGCCAGAGGGTGTTGATCCTGGGACTGGAGCTAGATATGGCTGTGCACTGCCTGGTGTGGGTGTTGGAACAGACCTCAGGTCCTCTTTAAGAACAATAAACACCTTTAACCACTGAGCTATCCCCCAGAGTCCCACCTCCACTATATCATTTAAATATATACTTCAAACCTTAAAAATCTTTGTCTTGCTGGGTGGTGGTGGCACACACCTTTAATCCCAGCAATTGGGAGGCAGAGGCAGGCAGATCTCTGTGAGTTCGAGGCCAACCTGGTCTACAGAGTGAGTTCCAGGACAGCTAAAGCTGTTACACGGAGAAACCCTGTCTCGAAAATAAAAAAAACAACTTTGTCTTATCTCTACACCCAGGGTGCGATCTCTTCAAGGACTAGCACCTTGAGCTGTCCCCATAGCATCCTGGTTTACACCATGTGGTGGTTTAAAAGAAAATGGCCCCCAAAGGGAGGGGCACTATTAGGAGGCCTTGAAGAAAGTGTATCACTGTGGGGGTGGGCTTTGAGGTCTCTTTATCTCAAGCTTCCCTCAGTGTGACAGTCAGTTGACTTCCTGTTGCCTGCAAGATATAGCATTCTTAGCTCCAGCACATCTGCCTGCATGCCACCAAGCTCCCCACCATGATGACAATGGACTGAACCTCTGAAACTGTAACTGAATCATCCCAATTAAATGTTCTACTTTGTAAGAGTTGCTGTGGTCATGGTATCCTTCACAGCAATAGTAACCCTAACTAAGACACCCCAAAAGCAAGAACAGAGCAAAGGAAAGAAGACAGAGGCCGTAGTTCTGTGGTGTGGCTGGGTGGAGGCTGCTGCGTCCCTCCCAGTGCGCAGGCCTCAACTTTTTCTCCAGAAACCATCATCTGTCCTGCTTGGCCAGGTGATAACATCAGCAACCAAGCAAGTGTCCTGGGGCCAGGGTCCGGGAATGAACTTCTCACCCACTAGATCTGCTGCTGCACAAACTCGGGGTTCCTCCAGTCACTGTTAGGAAGGTGGAGATGAGCTGGTCCAGAGAGAACAGACATGAGAGATGGATCCCTGTTCCTGGCCATGTAGCACAGCAGACATTTCCGCCCCTGCCTATGAGTTATGTGAAGGGAAGTCTTTCTTTCTTTCGTACGCTGCTTTGAGGTGAGTTTTCTGTTCTTTGTAACTGAAATGGTTCTCATACTATTATGGGTTTCTATTTTTATCATATGTAGCCAATGTGAGTGTGGTAACTTGTCACTGAGTTACATGACATTGGGCCACAGCATCAAGCCTGAGTCTCCTCCATCACTCAGGGATAGAGCTTATAACAGAAAGAACTAAATAACTATCTGACTGTTTAGACCTTAAACTGCTCTGTACACCTATTCATTGTTACCACCCAAGCCCAGTGACTGTTACTAAGGGAAGCCCACAAATGCATCTATCCTGTACAAACAGGCCCACTGAATTCTACTAGTCAAAAAACATCCATAAACCAAGACTACGTGGTTGGGACCTAGGTATCATCAGTTCAATACACAGTAGAACTACATTAAGCAGTTAATGATGGTAAAATATTTGCATCAAGATGATTCCACTGTGAACCAATGGCCAATTTGGGACATAGAACACAAAATAGTTTCTTTAATTAAAAAAACAAAAAACAACCAAAAAAAAATTTTTTTTTTTTTTTTTTGTTTTTCAAGACAGGGTTCTCTGTGTTGCCCTGGTATCTTGGCACTCTCTCTGTAGACCAGGCTGGCCTCAAACTCACAGAGATCCTCCTGCCTCTGCCTCCCGAGTACTGGGATTAAAGGAGTGCACCACCTCCACCTGGCTTCAAAAAACTTCTGTGTGTGTGTGTGTGTGTGTGTGTGTGTGTGTGTGTGTGTGCCTGCATGAGTTTATGTGCACCACGTGTGAAGGTTCCCTCAGAGACCAGAAAGCATCAGATCCTCTGGAACTAGAGTTACAGTTGGTTGTAAAGCCACCTGATGCGCATCTAGGAACCAAACCTGCTAGGAACTCTTTGACCACTGAGCTCTCTCTCTAGCCCAGAGCTAGATGGTCTCAGACCATGTGTCCTCTGACCATCACAGCAGAGCCCTGGTGAATAGGTGTCCTCTGACCATCACAGGCACAGTCCTGGTGAATAGGTGTCCTCTGACCATCACAGGCACAGTCCTGGTGAGCACAGATGCAAACTTCTCATGGACAAAATGTGTAACTGTAACACACCTCTCTTACCAGGGATCCTAGTTCAGCAACAGGGGAGTCAAACTCCTAAGTAGTGAGCTGACTTTAACCAGGAAGGAAATGGGAAAATGGCACTGTACGGTCAAGAGGTGGAGGAGAGGAGCTCTGTCCCAAGATTTGCTTTTCCTCCAAACACTCAGCAAGCTCAGCACCAACCTATGGGGCCAAAGCACAACACAAGAAAGACAGGCACATAAGGACTACCATGTCCTTACATGGTAGGTAAGATGTCCAGAGATGAGCTGGTCAAGCTCATGAGCTTCCAATAGTGAGCAGAGAAATCAGTCAGTGAGGTCCCAAGTTCGAGCCCTTCAACTGGGGAGACAATTTTTTTTCCCCATTCCTATCAGTGCTCAGCCCAGAGCTCATCCAAGTGATAACAGTACAGTCCAGTTGGCTAGGACTAGGAGAACAAAGAATTCTAATCCTGTGTTGACCCTCATAAATTAAGTAACCGAGGCACTTAATTACTTTGGGCCCCAACCTTCCTTCCTGTTTAAAAAAATAAATAAAACCTTTACTTTTTAAACCACCCGATTGGATTATGAAGATAAAAAACACCTAACTGATCTGAGGAAATTAGGCGAACTTTGCAATCATCAGGCAGTGTTGGGGTTCTGATGACAGAACACCCTGGGGGTGCTCCACTGTTCTCATGACTATCTAGGATCAAGGAGGAGCCGGCATGTCATCTGGTCCCTGCCCACGGTGTGTGAGCAGGCCAGGTATGAAGCCAGGTTCAGCTGCACTGAGAGGACAACTGAAAATCCTAGTCTGTCTAGGGCGCTCACACTTGGCATCATTAAAGGTTCTCTTTCAATAAAGGTTACTCATTACTTGTATAACTAAACACTTCTGGTGCCTTCGCAAAGCAGAGAGTCCATGAATTCACTAATCCGAAGCTGACCACTCTTACCGCCACTTGCAGAGTCTGCCTCCACCAATCAGCTCTCTGCTAG